CATTGATTTATTAGCAATTTTCACAGGTTCAAACAAATTGACATAAAGAAATTTCCTTATAAAGTGTTATTTGAAATTACATTGCAGAGAAATATGTCTCTTTATAAATGAAACGATAGTTTTCCTGAAAGGAATAACATGTTTCATGTCTGTGAACTGAAAGTATTAACTTTTATTTTCCCAGGTGGTTCAGGAATACGAGCGTGCAGTTATTTTCCGCCTGGGTAGACTACTGTCTGGGGGTGCAAAAGGTCCTGGTAAGTTTTTGTTGCCATGGAAATAGATTAATGCTTAATATTATCCAGCTTATAATATACTATACTTATACTGTAAAACATGGAACAAAACAATATTTTGTTGTTTTACAGCAACACAATTTAAGTACCTTAGAATTATTTATATGAACAAAAAAACAGAAGTGCAAACTGGTGAGCTTTTTTAAATATTAATAAATTGTGAGGTACTCAAACTGTAAATGTAAACCAATGACAGGACACTCGGGCTTTCATCCAACCATTAAAATAACATATGTAAAATGCTTCCTCTTGTAAAATGCATATCAGTTTTAATTATGGCTCCTCTAGAATCAAACTGAGATCACTGTAGGGCAAAAATACAGAAAACATAATTGTTACCATTCAAAGTCTTTATAACTGGAAATTGTGTCATTCAGGTTGAAAAACTAGACCACAGAGCAGTAAAAATGAAACCAAGTTGGTACTCATAAATGGCCAAATATAAATAATATTTATTCAGGATGTATGAGACTATAAGAATCTTACACTGGTTGCCGGTACAGACCGGAATATCTAGCTTGAGGGTAACTGTTTACGGCCAAGTTACCGCTAAACAGTTACCCGAGAGCTAGATTTTCCTGTCTGCACAGACAGCCGGTGTTTGATTCTTTTTCTTGCATATTACATATCAATTATTTTCAGAACAGAAATTATGAAAACTGATATTCTCATTACGCACTCTTTTCATTCATAACGGTAAAATAACGTCATTCTAAGAACGCAATTCATTCATAAAAGGTGTGCGGCAATGACGTCATTTAAAGCACGCGACTTGTCTTACATGGGGGGTGTAAGATAGAGTTTTCTAGCACCCGTGTAAACGGTAGATAATCCTGTCTGATATGTAAGAAAATAAGTGTTGTAATTGGTCAACCAGTGAGAAAATGATGTCACAAGGTCAAACAATGGATATTATTTCAAATGTGACCAAAATCTTATTCAAATTTGTTCAAAACATTTTTCTTAAATTAGTGTCATGTATCAAAATAAAAATTTATAACCAATTCATAAAAATACTTTGGTTTATTGATACATGATGAAGTTTCTCAAAACTGACATACTATCAGATGAGTCATCATGGCCATCTTATTTGGTGTAAGCATTATAATTATGTAAAGAAAACTTATATAACATATTTGAATCAATCTCAAGACAGCTTTCTAGAATGCCAGCACTGGTGTCATTATCTAAATCTTGTAATAATGTCAAGCTTTGGAAGTTTTTTTCTTGTCATGGAATAAAGAAAACATATTTTAAGTGAAATAACTGTCAGAATGCATCATGTAAATGAGGTATTGTTTTCTGCTATGGGGGTGATAATGTAACACAATTTGAATTTGCTTTAGACAAGCCTTTTCCTTGAAGAATTGAAGAAATCTTTTATTTGATTATATAAACATTCTATATGTAAATATCTGATATGTAATGTCTATATTTTTTGCAGGGATTGTTTCTTTAAATACTTTTTAAGTTAAAAAAAACTTTGGTACTTTTAACATTGAAAGTGACTTTCCATATAAATGTTATATAAGAACAAAACTTATAGAAATAATGCCAAGAACCTCCAAAAAATTATGAAACACACACTTCATTTTTGAACTGTGCAAGTATTTAATTGTTCTTTTGCTTCCAGAAGTATTTTTATCTGAAGTTTGAGTTATATCAAATAATCAGCTATGTATCACTAGCAGTACTATCACTGTATAGAACCCGCTTAGATAATTGGTACTTAAAAACAGCAGACAATCAATTTAAACAAATAGAAACTAAGGGCAAGAACTTTGTAATTTTTAATTTTTGAAAATTAAAATAATTTACCTTTAAGTTGATAAAGGTAAGTACCATAAACACAAAGAGGCAGTTTAAAACCAAATGTTGGAACTCTATTGTTTATTTCTCCAAAATATTTATAACTATATGTTACATCTAATAAAAGTGTTTAATTAATAAGTGACAAAAGGATGAGAGAAAACAGAACAGAACAGAACTAGACTGCTCTAGTTACAGTACTAGTATTAAATTATATCATGTAGATTTGATTAATTGTACTTGTGTTGTTTGTATTTTGTGTGAAGCATCAATTTTGATCAATGTTGCAGGGTCCATTACATTGATTAACTATGACAAACTATTGGTCTCTCTCTAACAGGGAGTATATTAAATGCTGAAATTTTGTGAAGTTTTTGTTTGTTATTATTCAGACTTGTTTGTTATGGATATTATTAAGTTTAGATCGATATTAATATTTTGGAAATTAATGCATAGTGCTTGTAAAGCTTGGCAACTATACTTGTATGATATGATTTAATGTCCCTAGAGAAGGTGCATGATAGTCTGGTATTATGTGTAATTTGTTACAGGCAATGCAGACTCTGTATACCCCCCCCCCCCCCCTGTTTACTTGAAATAACTGTTTCAAACTGTTACTATAGCCTTGTGTTAAAATGTTTCTCATTAATTATGTAACTGACATCAAATGGTTGTGTCAGTGACAGTAAGATGCTGAAATTCTCAGACTAATTCTTTTCATTGAAAGTAGAAAAAAGCATTTTATTTCATAGAATAATGAAGATACTCTATAATGGTGCCTGTTGCAGTCATTTTGTCTCTCATGTCAAATCTAATTTTGTTATAATACTTTGTGATAATTCCTAAGAGGTTTTCAATTTAAAATCTTTGTACAGAGGAAGATTTACAGTGTAACTTTCACAACAGGCAATTCACTTCTATCTTTCCTCCATATATAACATTAACATGACTGTGTATTAAAGCCATTTATGGATCTAAAACTACCTATGCCGACCGTCCGTCCGTCCAATCGTCCGTCCGTCCGTTAGCAATTTGGTTTCCAGAGTATAACTTAAGTTCCATTTGGCCCACAGGATGATTGCCAATATTAGATAGAAGACCCCTATAGATTGTGGGGTCACATAGTCAAAGGTCAAGGTCACTATTACCTTGAAACTGAAAACGGTTTCCGCTCAATAACTTAAGTATTATAATCAACCTACAGCTTTAAATTTTATAGGATGAACAGTCATGTCCAATGCATGACTCCTATTGATTTTAGGGTCATAAAGTCAAAGGTCCGGGTCACAATGATCTTTACACTGAAAATTGTGGTTTCTTGAGCATAACTTAAGTTCCATTTGGCCGTCATTTTTCAAACTTCATAGTATGATAATGTCAATATTGAGTAGAAGACCCCTTGTAATTTTTGGGTCACAAGGTCAAAGGTCACTATTACCTTAAAACTGAAAACGGTTTTTGCTTAATAACTTAAGTATTAATCAACCTACAGCTGTAAAATTTATAAGATGAACAGCCATGTCCAATACATGACCTTATGAATTAAGGGTGGTAAGATCAAAGGTCAAGGTCACAATGACCTTAACACTAAAAATTTAGCCTTCTGGAGCATAACACACGTTCCATTTGGCTTACAGTGTTCAAACTTCATAGGATGATTGCATATATTGAATATGAGATCCACATTGGGGTCACAAGGTCATAGGTCAATATCAAATGACCTTAATATTGTTAACAGTTTTAAAACTATGATGATCACTTATATTGAGTACATTAATTATATACCTTAAAAAATTTGCTTATATTATGTTATACCCCTGGCTTATCTGTCAATCCGTCATAGCATTTTTACTTACAAGATAACAACTTGATGGTGGTGCTTTGAAAACAGCAACTGTATATAATTATATATGAAGGTTCTTCAGCTGTAAAGGAGGATTGCTTTTTGAAGGAGGTTATACTTTATTTAATTCCCATGTCTTTTACAAATGCTTCGTCCTACTAAAAAAAACACTTTCGGGCATATAATGCTCCGTCTAGTGGTGTTCTTGTTTCTTGTTTTAATCTGGTACATGTATTTGATAATTGATTGATTTTATTGCACAGTCTATTAAAATTGTCCAATTATCTAAGAATTTTTTTTGACTGATTCTGTTTCTTTTACATAATAATCATATACTTCAAGATAAAACTAAGATATTCTATGATGATGTTTTGTGTAAAATTCAGAGAAAATGTTTCTGCTTCTTGAAATGAGTGTTTCTGCAGGAGAATTAATAGAGTCTATAGTATAGTCTGGCCATGATTGAGTTTCTCTGTTGTTTATTGATGCATTTTGGAGAAGATGCAGTCTATTTCCACAATGATTTACATAAATGTTTCAGGCATTTAGCAATCTTATGTATTAACTGTTCTCCGTCTACTTACTGCATTATTGTAGGCATTTGGCAAGATTTGAGCACACTTCAGCAAACTTTCCTCACTTTTTGAAAACTGTGATTATTTATGATGTTTATACAGTTTCAAGAAATTTTGTTTAGAAGATTTTTTTTTTTGCTTATTTCGTTTAAGTAGTAAGGGAAATGAAATGCTCTATTTTATTAGCGTTTTCTATATACCCAACAATTAATTAGCTTCTAATGCCACTGTTATAAATTAATTGGTAGGGTTAAATGGTATTGCTATGAAGAATATAAGATATATAAAATGTAATATCATTAACTACAATAAAAACATTACTAATGAAGTACACTACTGTATGTATGTGTCCACTTTATAGATCAAATTAGAAATGTTTGTTCATAATTTATATAACATTTGTACAAAAAATGGAGGCATATTTTAATTAGTTCCCAACTGTTTGAATCTGAGAGGACTGTAGGATTACCTTCAGTCCTCAGTACCAGTTGCGCTCCGCTACGTGATTATGTCTCATGTAGCTCAAGCTGTGCCCGTCATGTCTCATAGTGTTATAGATTCCTGGATCCCTCATTCAAATAAGTACAAAATACCAATACTTTTTATGAAACTTAAAATAATTGGATAGATGGCAAAATGAAGATTATGATATCCTATGTAGAAAAATCTGGTTGCTATGACAACAAATAGACTTAAAATATAGTTAAAATATCAATATATATTGTGATAACTCATTTTAGTACTGAAAGTATTAATCTTTAACTTAAAATATGTAAAGATTGCAGTATGGAGATTATGTACATCATTTTTTGTCCGTTCTGTTATGATCTCTGGGTGTTGTTGTTGTTCTTGTCATACAATATCTTTAATAAAGCCCATAATGAGTGACTCAAACAATTTTTAGGTGTCAATATGAAATTTTCATGATAAGAGGCAGTTGTATGACAAGAGATATTATTTTAAAAGCTTTATTTCTGGAGTTTTGCCCCTTTTAACTTATCAAATTATCAAAGCTATTAACTTGAAACTTGTAAAAGTGGGTTATCATGTCAAGGCACAGTAGTAAGACAAGGGACATTATCCTGAAATCACTGCTTTTAGAAGTTATGCCCACTTTAAAGTTATGATATTTTTAAAAAAATGTTATTGATTGATGGTGGTTGCCCTTTTATTATATAGATCAGCATTACCTTAATTGTATATTCTTCCTTTGTTGAGAAAATCTGGTTGCTATGGCAACAAACAGACTCAAAATATTGCAAAAAAAAATAGGGACCCATTTGTTAGGAAAGTTACTGACAATTCCTTCTGAAGGGGTTCTATACATGCATGCAGTTAGGGATTTTTGTATAGTTTGATAATAATTACTTTGGGTTGGCCTTTACCATACGAAATACATCTTAATTAATACTAAATATCTAAAATCGGCTAAATCTGGACAGAACCATCATTTTAAGTTAAAATTTCAAAACAAGTATAGTACTGGCTGATGACCCAAATGTGCAAACTGATCTTGGTCAGTGTGCTGGTCACATGGGTTAAGAAGTACATGTACTGGTAAACTGCCAGCAACTTAAAATTCAAATCATGTCAAGTCCATTTAAGAAATAAGGGATCTCATCTGCAATGATATGCTGACTGCAAAGATCTGGAGATAAATTTTTGCAGAAACTTAACATTCAATTTCATATATTTCAGTTGAAAGGATGTTACTTTTGATTTTACAATTTCTCCCAAGAATATATCTGTTTTTCAAGAGGCGTCTGCAGAGACAACTGAAAATAGAATCTGACATTTTCTTTATGACTGTTTTGATAGGTTGTCTCAGCTTTCAGAAATATCTAGAAAGTAATTTTAGGGAAAGGAAAGATAGATTGATTGAAATACAAGTTTTATTATTGTTGCTTTAATATAAGAGAAACTTTATCTCTGTTTACAGTTTGCATTATTATATAATTTTTTGTTCAGTTGTTATTAATTCTACTCAAACTATGGAGGCGAGGCTTTAATTAATATTTTAGGGAAAATAATTATACTAACTAAAATAGAAATGTTTGTTTTATATTGACACTATAAAGTCATATTATAATGAGACTTCTCAGGAAAGACATGACTATGATCGGATGATAAGTTTCCTATTGTCTTCTCTATTCCTGGGAGTTTCATTAATTTGTCTTATACTAGAACAATTTACAAATGACGGAACAACAAATGACAAAACGACAAATAACAGAACAACAAATCGAAATGTCTTGTAATCAAACATATACAATAATATGTTTACACTTACAGAAAATAAAACAGTTCTAGGTAGTAATGGGGTCATTCATTGCCAAATGAATTATTTGATTATATTTTCAGGACTGTTTTTCATCGTACCATGCATTGATTCATATACAAAGGTAGATTTGAGGACTGTATCATTTGATGTCCCACCACAAGAGGTAAGTTAAATGGTCTAACTGCCCCTTGAATATGATAAATATCATCACTATATCATATTATAGTGTATCAATAACTTAACTAACATAGAGGAACTATAATTTCTACAAATACTAGTGACTGAATTGTTGCAAGTCTTAGCTGTCAGCAGTATAGAATCAGGCCAGGTTGTATATCTTTGTAAGTCTGATCCGACAGGTTTATGTTAAAATTTTGATACTTTACTTCTTTAAAAGAATAATGGTATCCTAATGACATACAAGAAGATGCTACTTAAGTTACTCGACATGGTTGCGATGTACATGTCTCATTGATACCTTGTTTTGTATTGCTTACTTTATTACCAATTGATATTAAGTTGTGGTTTTTTTTTCCCTGACTGCCTGTAAGCATGTAAAACAACAACAAATACAATGATTAAATTACATAATTTTTCTGTCCGGTACAGGTACTCACCAAGGATTCTGTGACAGTTGCCGTTGATGCAGTGGTATATTACAGAGTTCACAATGCTACAACGTCCATCACTAATGTTGAAGATGCTAATCGTTCAACACGGTTACTAGCGGCAACAACACTACGTAATGTGCTCGGAACTAAAAATCTCAGTGAGATCCTTGCTGACAGAGAGGCCATCAGTCACCAGATGCAGGTATGGTATACTGTATGATAGATGCTTACATACATGCGTATATAAATCGTGCCTACAATATGTTCAATATTGCCATGTCTGGCAACCTCTAAGATTCATATGTTTATTTTGAGTATTTTGTAAAAATTTGAAATTTTCTACAGCCTTTTGAGTGCCAATTATAACCTATTCATGTTTATATGAACTGAAAGTTTTTCCTCTTAAGGTCACTGTCCATCATCTATTAACTTGAATATTTGGTAATGTAAGGGAAAACAAATAAACACATTTAAACAAATTTCTGTCCGAAAATGAGTGTTAGATGGGCTTAAAAATTATTTAAAAAAATGCCAAGTACATGTATTCTTTTGTATTTGACTATTGACCCTAACATCTAAATGCAAATGACTTATTGCATAATTTTATTCTACTATTTTATAGATATTTTATTCTACAATTTTATAGATTCACAAGGGACAAATTTTATAAACATTATTTTCAATAAACCTGTTTACTTGGCAAAGATTGCTTTGTGTTTGCTGCATTAATTCTGTCTGGAATATAAAATTTTCTTGTCTAGAATCTTCTATACTGATACATATTTCCAAACCATCAATTTTTATTGTGATGTTTATATAATTTTTATTTGTCCAAATTTCTTAACAAAACATTACAGTTAATGCATTTAGTTAAGTTCAAAGACACTGTGCAATGAATCATTTGTTTTAAAGTGTATACCAGTATTATGTACTAAAATGTGCTGAAATCTTCTCCCAATAGGAAGCTCTTTTGGAAACGACAAGTCCATGGGGAATTCGTGTTGAAAATACTGAAATGTAGGAATTCTAGTGTGTGTTAATGTTGTCAGCTTTTAAATGAAATGGATTTGGATTTTATTTTACTAGATGTGTTATTTAACATTTTGTCATTGTAGCGTTCAAACTATTCAGGCATCTGAAGATTTAAATGTGGGGGATGTAGAAATAACAATGTTGTGATACATTCAGTCAGGAAAAATCAAGCAATATAATATGGTTGCAATGGACTTTCCATAAGAATTAAAACCCTAACCCTGCTTAATTTACATAATGGTTTTGACCAACTTTACATTTGGAACAATCTATTCATGGTTTAAGGAATTTTAGTATGAAAATGCTAAACTTGAGCAGACAACAGTACTGTACTGGTCTTATTTTATATCAGGGGTGTAAACAAATCCTGTTGTATTGCCACCAGGACTTGAAGAATTTGATTTCTTGAAAGCTGAGTATAGAAGGTTACAAGTTTGCTTTTGTGAAAGTTTTTTTAATGATTATTTATTAGCTATGATAACAAAATGCTTGGAGTTGTTGGGATAGCATATATGTCACTTATAACACATTTATAGACCTCTGCCAGTCACCAGCTTGCTCATCTTTGAAGTCCAATGAGACTTTATATTGTATGCTACCAAATTCTTCTTCAACTTTTAATGGCCTATACCAAATTCAAAAAAGGACAAATCCAATTCAAAGAATTAAGCAGGAAAGGAAAGCATTGAATAATCCACAAAATAAACATGATACCTAGCATTTGGTATTGTTTGTATTTCTTTCCAAACTTAGTAATAGTCAAGGTCTGAAACAGGTGTTTCATATATGTATTGATCTATAAAATGTATGTAGAATTGTGTAATAATTCTGTTATAGCATGCTGGGTAATAATGTTAAATGTAATATATGTTCTCTCTGTAGACGTCCCTAGATGAAGCTACAGATCCCTGGGGTGTTAAAGTTGAACGTGTTGAAGTGTGAGTATTATCTAACATCAAGTTTGTTTTTGCTGTGATTTAACATTATACAACATCATGTATCATAGACATAGAAGGTTGCTTGGTAAGCTTAAAATGCCAAAAATAAAGATACAAATGATGTAATATGGTTCAAGAATGAAAGACGTTTTTGGTCAGCTTATAAGTTACTGAAATTTTGACTAAACCAGTTTTTTTAAGGCTTATAAGGGAAAGTACCCTGAGTGTGTATGCCCAAATCCTGGACTTAATTCATCTTTTTTGAGATAAAAGTCAATATATTGCCTTTAGATTTAGCATGAATCAAATTATGTTTGGCAGTGGAGTAAATATTTGTTTATTTGTACATCTGTCTCAGTCTGTCCTTCATCTCACTACAATATCATATCTTTACACTTTCATTTCCTGCCTGATATCTCAGATATTTTGCGTAGTGTAGGTCAATGCTCTATGAAGGACTAAAATAGATTTGTAGGGTTATACTTAGCTTTGCTGAAACATGGATATAAGGAGAGCATTATCCATAGTAACTATATTATATGTGTTTATAATTGAGATTTTAACCAAATGATAAATTTAAACTGAAAAATAGGACCTAAATTAGTCTTCTTTTTGTCTTACTTTAGGATATTAAAGTAAAATAGATTGATGTTTGTTACAGTTTATAAATGATCAAGCAGAATATAACTGGGAACATATATCTGTATTAACCCTCATTGTTTGATATTAAATAAGAGTGATTGATGAGTAAGATATTATATAATAGAGAAGATAGTAACATCTGCTATCTTATATGATATTCACATATTTGATTATTGTTTACTGTTTCAATGTAGAACAAAACGTTACAGCAGATTTGATACTGTATTTATACTGATGTAAATCCATCAGTGTTTATACCCCCGCACAACAAAGTTGTAAGGGGGGTATACTGGAATCAGCTTGTCCGTCCGGCTGTCCATCCGTCCGGCCGGCCGTCCGTCGTTTTTTTCTTGTCCGCCCAATAACTTAAGATTCCTTTGACCCTTAGTCTTCATATTTGGCATGGAGGTTAGTCATGATTAGTAGATGACCCCTATTGATTTTGAGGTCACTAGGTCAAAGGTCATGGTCACAGGGGCCTTGATTAAATAAAGCTTGTCCGTCCAATAACGTAAGATTCCTTTGATCCACAGTCTTCATATTTGGCATGGCGGTTAGTCATAATAAGTAGATGACCCTATTGGTTTTGAGGTCACTGGGTCTAAGGTCAAGGTCTCAGGGGCCTTGACTAAAAAAAGGTTGTTTGCCCAATAACTTATGATTCCTTTGACCCACAGTCTTCATATTTTGCATGGAGGTAAGTCATGATTAGTAGTTGACCCCTATTGATTTTGAGGTCACCAGGTCAAAGGTCACAGGGGCCTTGACTTCAAAACACTTGTCCGCCCAATAACTTAAGATTTCTTTGACCCACAGTCTTCTTATTTGGCATGGAGTCAAGTCATGATTAGTAGATGACCCCTATTGACTTTGAGGTCACCAGGTCAAAGGTCAAGGTCACAGGGGCCTTGACTTCAAAAAGCTTGTCCACCCAATAACTTAAGATTCCTTTGACCCACAGTCTTCATATTTGGCATGGAGGCTAGTCATGATAAGTAGATGACCCCTATTGACTTTGAGGTCACCAGGTCAAAGGTCAAGGTCACAGGGGCCTTGACTTCAAAAAGCTTGTTCGCCCAATAACTTAAGATTCCTTTGACCCACAGTCTTCATATTTGGCATGGAGGTTAGTCATGATTAGTAGATGACCCCTATTGACTTTGAGGTCACCAGGTCAAAGGTCAAGGTCACAGGGGCCTTGACTTCAAAAAGCTTGTCCGCTCTATAACTTAAGATTCCTTTGACCCACAGTCTTCATATTTGGCATGGAGGTTAGTCATGATTAGTAGATGACCCCTATTGATTTTGAGGTCACCAGGTCAAAGATCAAGGTCACAGGGACTTTGACTTCAAAAAGTTTGTCTGCCCAGTAACTTTAGATTCCTTTGACCCACAGTCTTCATACTTGGCATGGATGTTGATCATGATTAGTAGATGACCCCTTATGATTTTGAGGTCACTGGATCAAAGGTCAAGGTCATAGGGACTTTGACTTCAAAAAGTTTGTCCACCCATTAACTTAAGATTCCTTTGACCCACAGTCTTCATATTTGGCATGGATGTTGATCTTGACTATAAGGTGACCCCTATTGATTTTGAGGTCACTGGGTCAAAGGTCAAGGTCACAGGGACCTTGACAAAAAAAAAGATTTTCTTCTTAATTGCTAAAGAATGTCCTGTCCGCAATGTATTGATTTTGACATTTTCACATTTGAAGCATGTAGAATACATAACTTAGCAACCCAAACCAAAAGGAAAGCTTGCGGCAAGCTTGCTGCAAGCTTGTCGCAAGCTTACATTGGCTATTTATGCTTGCTGTAAGCTTGCTGCAAGCTTGCGCAAGCTCGCCAGTAGTTTCATACAGAATTCTGCAAGCTTACAAAACAATTTTTATCGCAAGCTTCTTCGAAAGTTTAGACTTAGAAAAATTCTGTGAAAGCAGGAAAATGAAAAGTAGTGAAAAATTTCTAAGTACAAAAACTTGGAAATGTTTATAAAATCATTTCACTCAAACTAATTAGCATTTATATAATATAATGGGATTCAAATGAAAACATTTATTTCATAGATTTTATTTGCCTGTCTTACATTCTTTGTTTTTAAGATTCATATAACTTTATCAATTTTTTTAATTATTCACTAGTGTTATTAAAATTCTTATTACTTTCTCAAAATTATCAATTAATGCCATGTCAAAAATTAGAGGTGATGTTCAGTAAAAAAAAAGAAAATCACCCAAAATCAAAATGAAAGAGGAAATCAAGAGTGTTAATTCAGCTTATAAATTTCTAATTAAAGCTTTCAACACAATTAAACTAAGATAAAGTCAGTCTTTTAAATTAGTTATTATGAAAGTTAACATAAGTCACATTTTTTAACAATTGTGAACATACAAGCAAATATAATGAACATTTTATTTTGTCTAATGGCTATTTTTCTTATTTCAATCATTGAATGTTAATTTGTTTTATTCATGTGTCTTTTAATTTTTAATTCATTAGCACAAGTATATCCCTTCTTAGATATTAACTATCTTGTGCAGAAGTTAATTATGGCATAATTAAGATTCAATTTGACATTTCATAAATTGGTCTCCTGTGAGTATTAATTGTAGACTGTTCACACATTGAAGTGATTGTAACTTACTATAAACATGTGTTATTGGTCAGTGATCGGTCAAGTGCAACATTACTTTCGCCCTACTGTTTTCATAATAACCAGTGTTAAACTCACCTATCTTATATAAAAGAAAGTGTGAGATAAGTGGGGTTTACAACATGTAATCTAATACCCTGAACCAATCTGGTATCAGGATCTGATCTCAGAAATTTCAAATATTATACTCAGGAAGAGTTTATTTGGACCTCAGTGCATATAATTTAAAAAGATGCTTAGGAGTAGAGTTAAACATGTGACTAAAGTGCCATTTAGATGAAACAACTTTATAATGTGAACTTTAATAAAATTATAATGGGACATTAAAGGAGTTCTTCAATCAGATGGAAATGGAAATTTACTACTGTTCAATGGAATAATGGTAAGTAATTTAGACTATTTTGTTACAACAGTCTTTTCAAATTTACCTTGCAAATGAACACTTTTAATTTTAGTTTTTGTTTTTTCATAAATTTTACATATTTAAATATTATGTGCTGATTTAAATCTTTTTCACTGAGTGTTATTGAGTGGGAATTTTTAAATCTGCCCTTTTCTTTACATTATGTACCAGTAAATTACATTCCTGGTCATGATTTTCATACCATTTACATTTTGAGGATATTTCAGTAAATTATGGGTTTATATTAACAGTACCAAACTACTATCAGAATAAGCATTTTGATTTTACTCAATTTATATATTTATGTATTAGTAATGAATATTTTTTTCTTATTTACAGGAAAACTTACAATGCTGTACACAGGTATCATAGAGAGTTTCAAATTATAATGATGAAGGAAAGAAAAATGAGGTTGATTACAGAAATAATTGGTGGTTAGTTTTGTTATTCAATAAGGTTAGATAATTGATAAAAATAATGAAATAAATAATTACAATTGATTTGAACAATTTTAACTGTTAGATGAACAACTTTCAATGTAGTATAAATTTCCTTTTAAATAAAATGATTGTATAGAATATAAGTTTTGTATATTAAAGATTTACTTATAAAATTACAATATTATTTATCTTAAATGTTTGTACAATACTTAAATGCATGTAATACATTCACTATTTAAAATTTTCATATACATGTAGTTAAAATAAAAGTTCTGATAAAAAAATTCATTATCAGTCAAAACCAGTAGGAATGTGAATAATTTTCAATTGTATTGTTTAAACTAACAATTGCCATGTTAGATATAGATCTATGTTGTTGAAAATATTTATAGAAATATTTAACAAAATTAAAAACTATTGCAGCAAGAACAATTTTAATTTTTATAAATAATTAAACTGGCAAAATTGCCCAAAAATAATATTTTACTATTGCCAAAAAAATAATATTTTACTATGCAATTTGTGCTTTCAAATATTGATCTTTTCAATTACATGCCAATAATACCAATCATATGCATATTAAACATAAATAATTAATTATGATACACTTTTTTTTTTCAGTGTGTACAACAGGCAGTCAATAATATGGAATTGTTGTGTGCCACAGTGAAGCCATTCTGAAAGATTGAATCTGTGAAGGACATGATTTATCATAAATTATGGATACTTATTTGAAAAAAAAACAGTTATCTTAAATAAATAATGTTTTGTTTTCTATTTTCTCAACTTGGTAGACATTTATTATTTTTTGAATTTGTGTTATAGAATTATTTTTGTTAAGATGACTTGTAAATCTAGAAATAAGTTGAAATGAATGAATTAATTCTATTATGTAATAGTTTATTAATATTATACCTTATCACATGAGGACGATTAATTGCAATATTGGAGAATTTAAAGAAGTTTGTTACAGGCCAGACGCAAGCTTGCTTGCAACTAGCTTGCCGCAAGCTTGCAACTAGCTTGCTTCGCAAGCTTGCCGCAAGCTTGCAACTAGCTTGTCGCAAGCTTGTGGTGCCTTTCAAATCTAAAGCATGCATTTTTGAAAACAGGCTGCAAGCTTGCCGCAAGCTTGCCGCGAGGTTCCAATTCTAAGCTTTCCGCAAGCTTTATTTGCAAGCTTGCGACAAGCTTGTTGCAAGCTTGTCGCAAGCTTTTATAAAGCTTGCGATTTTGGTTTGGGAATGCACTGGCTTAGTAACCTCAGATTTGGCAGGGAGGTTGTCCTTGAGCTTTAAATGGCCACTGTTGATTCTGATTCTGACAAAGTGGTATGCGGGGGTATTCACGCAATGATAGTGGCAGTTCTAGTTTATCCTAAATCCACTAAATCTCTTAAAGGAACTTGTCCAGCTTCCATTATTGGAATTTTCCATTTTCAATGATAGGTATTTCACGATCTTTTCTTGGTACTGTTGGCAAAATAAAGCTTTTCAGATTCAGTACTGTTGAGCATTAAAGTATCACATGTACCGTCTAGCATCAACTGACTTTACCAATGTAAACAGTGTATACATGTTCAGCTGACACAGCTGTTTGAACAGGGTCTGCCCTCTTTGCTTTTTTACTGACTTGTTTTTTTTGTTAAAATTTTTTCTAAAATGGACAAGTCTTTATAAGATATCTAACATGGTAAAGATGAAAGCATTGACTGTGGTTTTGAGGGCTCAACTATCATACTGTCACACTATAATACAGACTTTGAACTATCATGGGCTGATATATATGACTTCGGGTTCAAGCTCTTAAAGACATTTTATTCTTGATAAAAGATAATATACTTTAAGATAGCAGTGGATCAAAGAAATCCTTTCAATACGTAAATCTCAGTGTTTGACATAAAATTTTCATTTCATATATTTTCATCTCAAAAATGTTATGCATTTATATGGCTATGCTGTCTCAAGGTTAAGGTCACTCTTAAAAGTCAAATGTCAGACAATTTTGTGTCCACTCTATAGATTTGATACTTTTGGAAGGACTGTTTTCAACTTTTACTTAAATGTAAACCTTTGACAAAAATGATAAACAGACCTGTACAAATCCTGTGTTAAAGATATGATGTGGGTATTGGTCATTTTTATGACAGCTCTAGTTTAACCTGTAATAAAGGTGGCCTGTGAACAGAGGCAACTGTGATGATGGTTAATGATAATTGTATGAAATGATGTTGATATTTTTTTTCCATTTAACAGTAAGGATGTAAGACTACCAGTTCAGTTACAGAGAGCAATGGCTGCTGAGGCAGAAGCTGCACGTGAAGCTCGAGCCAAGGTTTGTATTTAGATAGTTCACATGTTTTTTAAAAGGTAACATTTCTATGGCAGAAATTTTTGACTTCAACAGCTGCTTGTTTAAATTCCACCAGGGACTTTGGATTCCTTTCATGTGAGGAAGCTATCCAGCTTAGGTTATACGATGGTCAGTGGTTCTACTCAGGTGCTTCCCTCAAGCTTGAGCATGGAGGGGAGAGATCTTTCTCGCACCAGTGAAGCTTGAAAAGTTGTTATAAATAACTTCTACTATTTATAAGTATCCATAGATACAAAGTAATTTTTAATTGTCCACCAATTGTACAATGTATCTCTTATGCTGTCAGTAACATTTTAACTTTAAAATTGCTGACAAACCTGTCACAATATAAATTTATAATGACCAAAGTCGATGGATGAAAGGAATTGAGCAGGAGATTGGCTATTAGTTGAATTATCTGTCTTCTTATCCAATTATCATGGGTTCTAGCTGTTTTGGTGGTCATATTAACTAATGATACTTGTATTGGTAACTTCCAGGAACCTGATGCAGAAAGTTAATAAATCCTATTCCCTTTCATGTTAAACAGTAACTATATTAATTCCTGTGACTGTATTTCTGTCTGAAAGTTATCTGTTTCTATCTTAATTTAACATTTTTTATGTAAACACAATTCAGGTGATAGCAGCAGAGGGTGAACAAAAGCATCGAGAGCATTAAACGGAAGCTGCTGTGTCATCACAGAATCTCCGGCGGCCATTCAGCTACGTTATTGCAGACCCTGAACTACGATATCCGCAGAGAAAAACTCCACCATCATTTCCCACTCCTATTTGACCGTGTTTACAGGGATTTATGAATCACCGAGGCAGAACACAACGTTTAGTGAAGGTTAAACACCTTGTTAAATTGGTATATAATGAATTATATAAAACTGTGACAGCTGGTTCAATGATATATGTGCTCTCTCAGTGTGGCATATTATCTTGTTATATATAATTATCATATAGAATCTCACATAAATATTGAACTATACAAACATTGCCATGTATATGTGCTGTGAAACTCTGTTATGAAATTTATATCATATAGTAAGTGCTTTTCTATACATGAAATCAGGATTTTGTGATTCGCCGTCGCGTCATATAATTTAAAAAAATCTTCTTATAAATAACCCAAATGCTAGAGCTTAGAAGATAAACTTTACATGGCATCTTCACAGGGCTGTCCTTTAGTGCAATTTAAAGTCATGGGAATGACCCTGTTCCAGGGGTTTATTCAGGTAGTCGTATCTCCAGGTGTCCATCATGGCCCATTATAGATTTTATACGCACAAAATAGGAGATAATTTATTTTACGATTTTTTTTCTTATAGAAAACTAGAAGTTTAACTTTTTTATACCATATTTTAATTCTTAAAATTAAATCACCCCATCCCAAAATGGGACTTGCTGCCCAAACACTACCAGATTTTAGTTTTTCCCAAATATACACTAAGCTTTATAAAAACAAATTATCTTTTTCCATTTTTAATGGTGCTTGAAAACTATAAAATATTGATAAAAATCGTTCTTCTATTATTATACTTAAAATTTTTCTTATGTTTATTCATGGAAAACTAATATTGATAGATCTCTTTTATTCTTTGTAAAATATTGGAAAAAAGCATTGGTTTATGTTGGGTTTTTTGAAAAACTTTTATTTACTTGAGATATAAAAAATTGTTTAATCTTCTTTGGTTTTTATTATGTGTAATAAAAACCCAATTTTAGGTTTAAATTCATTTTTGATATTGGGTCTTTAATTGTTTGGTCACTGTGGGAAATTACAATGTCAAAAAACAAAAATTTGGCAATTTTTGCAATTTAAAATTCCCCATTGTTGTAAATATGAATTTCGTCCTTGGGTAAAGGGTTTTCCCAAGTTTCCCATTGTAATCTTCCTGAAATTTTTCTAGTTTAAATTACGGTAAAGGCTAATCACAGTTTATTTTCGAATTTAATCTTTGTTTTAAAGCAGGTTATTTCTCTAATATTTAACCACCAACATGACCAATAATTAAAAATCGTTCCTCGAAAAATTAAGTCTCTTCTTGGGTTCAGAAAATTTATTGCTGGGTTATAAATTTATGATTAATTTATAAAATGAAAAGAGTGAAAGTAAAGGGTGGTTGTTGGCAATATAAATAATTTATTAATTTTTGAAAAGTTGGTGATTACGGTCTTTTTTAGTAAATATTGAGTTGATTTTTTTTTGCTAGAAGATGTTAACTTTAAAGGATGGAACCAGAAAAAAATGAAAATGGGATATGTTTTAGAAAATTTTACATAACTTTAAGATTAAGAGCTGTTATTTTATGGTTTATATATTTTTTTTTCTAATGTTTAATTTCGTTTTGTTTGATTAAAATATTTGTTTTTATGTATGAGCTGTTTAACAACAGATATTAAAATTTTTTTAAACAAATTTAGAAAATTTATTTTAAATTTTTGGCAAAATTTAATATTTTTTGATTTTAAAATAGTAGTTTTTTACAGAATTTAATTTGTAAATTTTTATTTTTGCTCCTAAATTTTTTAAAAGCTATTTGATTTGGTCTATATAAATTCTAAATGTAAAATGTGGGAAAAAAGGTTGATTTCTCTGTAGGGGAAAATTGTTTGGGTTTGTTTTTTTATAAGAAAAATTGTTTTTTTTTGAGGAAAGGGGAGGCAGTATTTAAAATTTTAAACAATATTTTAAAGGGGGAAATAATTATTTAGATGAAATTTAAAAATTTTTCAGAGAAATTTTCAGGTAAATTTTTAAATGTTTGTCAAGTTTAATATTCTAGTTAAAGGGTTTTAAATTTTTGTTAGCCAAAAGGTGATTGTTGATAGGAAAATTTATTTTGTCAGGCAAATGGGTTTTTTTTTTTAAAGATTATTTTTTGTGAAGCAAGTTAAAATTTAGTTTTGTTGATTCTGCAATCTGTTTTCCCTCTATGTGTGAAAATATATAGAGGTTTTTTATACTGTTTTGTATCATCATTGTTAGTTTTTAAAATTTAGTTTATTTTTTGTTTTTTTTTTCTCTTTTTTTTGAAACTTTTTCCCTAGAAATGATACAATGGTTTTGTCGAGAGGGGAAGACTAGTTTTTTTATCAGATTTCCCTTTTTATTTAGCATGGTAAGGTTGAGAGGCTAATGAAAATTAAAGATCCTGTATGTTTTGTGATTGATTTGTTACTGTCGGGTTTCCCTTTTATGTATGTAGTTAAAGTTTAAATGAGAGTTCCCAAAATTTTGAAAAAATTTATATATGTATATAAAAAGGCAAATAAAAAAATTTTTTCAAACATCGAGGGAATATGAAAAAATGTGAAACTGAAAAATTTTTTGTGCACATTATATTTAATCAAAAAAAAATTATATGCTTTATTTTTTTTGGGAAAAATTTTGACTTAAAAATTTATACAAAAAAAATTTTTCTAATTTACCCCCTTTTTATTTACATGAATTTTTTAATTCGGAAATATTTTTTATAAATAATGCTTTTTGGGAACTTACAATATTGACAAATTTAATTTCAGCAATCATTTTTAATAAAATTTAAATCCATAAAAAAAAATGTGTTACAGGATTTTTAAAGATATATTTTTATATGTTTTATACTTCTTTTGAAATTTTTAAAGGAAATTAAAAATATCAAAGTAAATATTTCAAAAACATTTTGCAACACTCATCTTTTTAAAAATCAATGTCTATCCAATTTTCAACTGCTTTTAAAAATCATTCATTAAAAAATTTTTAAAAATTTTCCCCTTACTTTTTGTATGTCGGGAAAATTTTTTAAATACAAAATTTTTACAGTAAAAAAAAGTGTATAAAGAATCAAAAAACTTAAAAATATATTTTAAAAATTTAATTTTTTTTAAATTTAAAAAAGAAAGAAAAATTTAATTTTTTTTAAATTTCATTTTGTCATGTTTTATGCTTTTTCCCTTAATTTTTTTCTTTTTTTTTTTATAAAAGATAATATTCTAAAGTTATTTTAAGAAGTTTCCCTTTTAATCTGCCCTTTTCCCCAAAATTCCCCCTCAAGTTTGAGACATGCAAGCTGTAAAATTTTTTAAAACATCCCAAAATGTCAAAAAATTTTAAAATTTTATCAAAAAAAAATAATGCATCTTTAAAAAATGGTTTTTTGCTCCCCTGTAATTTATACGTTATTTAATTTTTTTCATTTTAAAAAGGGACTCCACTTATTTTGGCATACAGGCCCTTTAAAATTTTTTGTTACTTTTAAGGTAGGTCTGGACCACAAATTTGGGTGTGCAAATTTTCCTCTTTTCCTCTCCCCCATTTTTACAGAGAAAAACAATTATATATGGAAAATGAATTTAAACAATAAAAAAGATTTTCGATGCAATTTGGGGCTAAGAATCCCCAAAAAAATAGATTTTCAATAGGGTTTATAAACATAATAGACCCCGTGTCATGAAAAAACCCAAATAGGGGGTTTTTGCGCCCAGCAGGGATCCAAACAACCCTGCGCTTTCCGGACAGTCTGATCAGGATCCATGCTGTTCGCTTACAAACCCAAATTAAAAGTAGAAAAAACTGATAGCATACAGCAGGGACCCTGATCAGGGGAGGTAACAAAATGTTTTGGAAATCTCTAAATAAAGGGGAAATTTAAACTGATACTGGTACCCTCTCATCAGGGGAGGTAACTAAATTTTTATTTATGATTTCTGGAAATTCTTTATGGGGGAGAAACTCCCCAGGTAGTTTCCATTTTAAATAATTTGGGGGAAGGTAACTAAAGCTATTTTTAAAAAAAACTAAGGGAAAGGTAATTTTTAAGACTTTCTCAAAAGGGGAAATAACTAGAGCTTCTTTTTTAAAGATGATTTAGCATGGGCCCATATGGAGGGTAACAAATTAAAGTTTTATATGATATAAATGCTTTTCTTGTTTCGGGTGTTCATTTCATCTCCTATCTTGTCCCAATTTTAAACAAAATTCTATTTATAAAAAACCTTTTAAATTTTTGTAGATTTTAATTATTTATCGGGCAGGGGAAATTTTAAAATTGTAATATTTATACATGTTCTTTTTGGGTTATTTTATTTCATTTTTTTGATATGGTCTTTATATGGAGGGGAAAAAAATAAATGTTAAAACATTTTCTTTTTTTTAACTTACTTTTGTTCCCTTTGGTAACCACCCATCATTAAAGCTAAAAATCCCTTCTTTGTTATCTGAACAAAAATTTAAACTACAACTTTTACTTCCAAAATTTCAATCCACATTATTTAATATTTTTGATGATCGTTTTCAAAAAATCACAAAGTGAATTTGCTGGATATATTTGAATTTTTCCCTACATTAAAAACATAAGATCAGGGGCAAAAAGTTTGGGAAAATCTATGTACTAGGGGTTTAAAACCCAGAACTTAGGGGAACCCGGAGTAGCTTTTGGGCCACCAGTCCCAAAGGGCCAGGCTCGCCGGCCACCGAGCTTTTTTTGACAGACTTTAAAATTTTAAAAGTTAAAAGTCTTGTTTTTTTAAATTAAATTAAACCTAAAATTTTCCCTTTGAATGGCCCTTGCCCCAAAATTCAAAGCAGGGAAAATACATTACTAAAAAGCAAAGAAAACAAAGGGAATTCCCAATGCTATGTTTTGGGGTTTATTTTTAAAAAGATAAACCTCCAGATGAGGCTAAAAAAAA